CGATATCGCCTGCCCATAAACCCAGGAAGGACTTGCCCCCCATGCATTTTCTAACTCCATTAGCAAATCATGATCATGATCGACAGGGATTAAATTATTGTGAAGTGTCATTCTTGCCGACCTACCTATTATCTCTATGACATTGTGCCAAGAAGGAGTTTTCTTAACTGATTTCTTTTCAGCCGATTTCATTACAGCCGATTTTATTACAGTCGATTTTGCATTCAGCTCAATCGGTAAGACTACATCATGCCCAAAAGTCCATTGATCAGTAAGCATGACCTCACTATAATCGGTAGGCTGAAGTAGAGGGTATGAATCAACTAACTTTTGTTGGGGGTTTGCAATTACATGCCCCCCAGTAGCCGCTGGTAGTGCTGGTGGACCTTGCTGAACTACCTCGGCCTGGATTAGGGCTAAAACCTGAGCCATCATTGCTTTAATCTCCTAATTCTTCTGTCGATAATCGTCAAATACCTCATTAAATTCTCCCATTTGTTGATTTACCACCTGCCGATAATCGGCAAGTGCCTTTTTAAATTCTCCCATTTGTTGATTTATCACCTGCCGATAACCGGCAAGTGCCTCTTTAAATTCTCCCATTTGGAGATTTAGTTGGTATCTTATTTCTCCCACTTGTTGATTTACCATTTACCGATAATCAGCTGCTGGAACATGTTGATAATCGGCTGCTAAAATATGCCGATAATCGGCTGCTTTTGGCGTTTGCTAATAATCGACTACTGAAACATGCTGATAATCAACTGTTGGAATATGCCGATAATCAGTTGCTGGAACATGTCGATAATCAGCAACTGTTGGCGTCTGCCGATAATCGACTGCTGGAAAATGCTGATAATCAACTGTTGGAACATACCGATAATCAGTTGCTAGAACATGCCGATAATCAGCAACTGTTGACGTCTGCCGATAATCGGCGACTGTTAGAATATGCTGATAATCGACTGTTGTTGGAACATGCCGATAATTATCTAGCAATTGGTATGACTGATTAGAATATTGGTACATCGGCTGAGAAGCCGACTGCATATTTTTTACTATAAATCACTCACCTACTGGGGTTCCACCGGGCGTGTCAAAAATGTTGACGCTAAAATCGACTCCCAAGATCCGATCTTAAATTGATGTAATGCGGGCGTGCCAGAACCAACTAGATGGTTCAAGTGTAAATTGTCAACTTTAGTCCTTTTGAGTAAGTTGACTTTCAGGCGATTGTGAGGAAAAAAGGGAACAAAAAATCTCCTCTTTTGAATTCAATAATGCCTTAGTTAAAAGGACTTTATAGTGAATAATTTATAGTAAATAATGAGAGAATAGAAAGGGGAGAGAAATAGATATAGAAAATGATAAAGAGAAGAGATAGGGAGAAAGAGATAGGGAAAGATATAGAACGAGACTGAAATGGAGAAGGAGATATAGGGAAAGAAATAGAACGAGACTGAAATGGAGAAGGAGAGAGATAGATTTAACAATGATGCTATTTGAGGAAAGTGCTTGAGAAAGCAAACAAAATAATAAATTGATTATGAGGGTGCTGGACCTCTTACAAAGCATGCCTATAGCATTATTTATAGAAAATTACATAAAACAAACTCCTGGATGCAAGTATTTTACTTGCATCAAACTCTATCAAATAATTAATTACTAATTTCAAATAAAATATAATCCTATCATAACCCAACTAACTATAAGTATAAAATAAACTAATCCTAAAGATAAATATAAATATTTAACTTACATCAATTAAAAGATAAATACTAAAATTATAATCCCTATCCATTAAATAATTCAAATGTTTCAATCTCCTTTGTCACTGAAGGTAGCTTCTTTAACCTTTTTCACGTGTCAATTTTTATCCAAATTAGTTGCCATGTCATTAATACAAAATTTATCAAAAATAGTGTCAACATTTACCAAGTAACGAAGAACACAAGATAGAGAGATATTTTGAGAAAAGTCTATTTTTTTTTTTTTTTTTTTTTAAATTATCTTTCAAATTAACCCGTACTATTTAAAATTCCCTATAAGGTAAGAAACCCACACCCAATCTCACTCTTCGAAACGAGAGTTCGAAGGAAGCCAACAACGAAGCACTCGGGATTAATTTTCTTGTACTTGTTGTTGGGGGAATAAAAAGGAAAGAAAGGAACAAAAAAGAAAAGTCGAAAGGAAAAGGAAAAGGAAAAGGAAAAGGAACGGAGGGACCATATTATTCCCACTATATATCTTCCTCTCAACAGTGAAAGGGCGTCGAACCCGACCAAGAGGGAGCATATTTTGTTTTTTGTTTTTGTTTTTTTCCTACCTTTAGAAAAAACCTTTTTCTCCATTATATAATAATAGCAAAATGATTAAACCAAGCTAATATTATATATATATATATATATATAAAAGTAATCGTAATGATTAAACCATACTATACCATTTTCCTATTCTATGTTTCTATTTTAGTTAACAAAATGAAGAAAAAACAAAAGGTACCAAGTCCTACCTCTTAAGGAGTGGTTAAGAGTTCGAACTTTCATGAAGACATGTGGGTTTGAGTACCAACAAAATAAAAAAAATTAACAAAAAAAATTAATATAGAAAAAGAGAAAATCCTAATATAACTTAATCATTTGAACCGTGGAGACTCTTTATATTAAATCTTCAAATAATTTGAAATAAAATCTGAAATTTTATCATAAATGATTGATCTCTTTTTTGTGAATAAGACCATAATTTACTTAAAGCTTTTTATAATTATATTTTAATTAATTTTTTTTTTATTATTTTAAATTTTAATGATATACTCAACAAAGATATAGAATAGTTGAAGAGTATAGAGAGTGCATAAAATAATATATATATATATATATATATATATATATATATATATATATATATATATATACACACTTGTATACATAATGAAAAATATTAGCAGAAAAAAACAAATTAAAGATAGAGAGAGAAATATAGTGTAATTGTTATAGTATAATTGTTGTTATTTTATTTTTCTAAAATTTTAATTCAAAATGTGTAACACGACTCAACTAAAAATTAACTACTCGGTGCTTAAAAATATTAAAAGGTATATTTTAAGTGCTGAAGTTTAACTGTGAACGTCTTCACAGGCTAAAGAGTTTTTTTTTTTTTTTTAGTTTTTTTTCAGAGCTTTATTTATTTTATTTTTTTAAGTTAAAGCAAAGCTTATGGAATACAGACTCTCGTAGCAATTCAACAACCCCTCCAACACCTGCTATTTAATTATGAATTCAGTTTATTTAATTACATCAATTTGGACATGATTGACCCATTTAACCGACACACGCGCCCCCAAATCGTGAACCATGTACAAGAGACAAATGTACTTCATACATTTCTATCAACGAAGGTAGTTTAGCAGTCAATTAGCTGTGATGTGGACCCCTTTTAAACTGCTATCGTATGTGGCCCATTGTAATCACATGTGCTGCAAGACTTACATATATATATATATACATTCTCCTTAATTAGTATCCAAGACATTTTCTCATTTTCTTATTTTTATAATGCGATCAGATCTTATCATTTCTCATGGTGTTCCTTGTTAGATCTTTCATTGATAGGATTTCTTATTCCAAAGACAACCCATTACCCTATATTTGTCGGTGCCTTTATAGTCAAAACAATTTCTCATATTACAAATACTAATCAATGCTATTTCGACCAAAAAAAAAAAAAAAAAATTTTCTTTTCAAAGTTTGAGCAAATATTGCACATAAAAGAGAGAGCTGGAACTCTCAAACTCATATTTGTTGGTAAAAACCATTGAAAAAGAAGAAACTGCTACCAAAAGGGCCTTTGGCCTAATGATATAACCTCTCCATCTTCAAAGAAGAGGGGGAGGGATTCGAGCCTCGACGTGGGCAATAAAAGTGTGTGTATGTGTTTGCTTTATCTTTCAAAAAAAAGAAGAAACTGCTACATTTACTTGCAACAGCCTCTACAAAAAAGTTTAAAATCATTTCGGTACCTACTCAATCAGAACTTGGCAATGTCCTTTATGAAACAGAGACAGCAAAATTAAGTTGAAATTAGAGGTAAAGCCAAATACTTAAGAAAAAGCTCTCATAAAAGAAAAGGAGAAAAAAGGGGTAACACTAGAAACAGCTTATTAGCTGTTGATGAAATCTAAACGAAACTATCTTGGCATGCGCAACTCCAGAAAGGAAGATTTTACGGCTTTGGTAACTCATCAATTGTGCTAACAATGTCGAGAATTTTCAAAATTTCAGTTACAAACTTATCCCCTAATCAACATTGCATGGACAAACAGAGGATGCATTTAGGCATTCAATGTATCCTTTAGAATACATAGGCCTAATCAACATTGCATGGACAAACAGAGGATGCATTTAGGCATTCAATGTATCCTTTAGAATACATAGGGAGAGAATGACCGCACAGAGGATGCATTAAGGCATTCAATGTATCCTTTAGAATACATAGGGAGAGAATGACTGCGTTCGAACGAGCTCAAGTTCATGGAAATCGGAAAACCCTTTTATGTTATCTGGCTTTTCCAAAGCCATACCAACTCAATTGAAACTTGGCTTAATTCAAACATGATACTGATCTTGCACAACTAGTGGCCATAAGTTCATCGCTATTTATTAATTTTTTTAAAAAGAAATAATGATAATAGCTTAATAGGTGTTGATTTTGAATTTTCGACAAAATCACATGAAAAGGACAAACCATGACCCACACCAGCACCATTAGGGCCAAGTTTTGAATCAAAGAACTCTCATTATAAGAAAGAAAAGTTCATCACACTACTTTCATGGATCCCATCACCACACTGTCCCAACCCAAAATATTATTCTCACACTACCCCAAAAAGATTAAACAAAAGGTTTACAAAAAAGTACAAAAATAAAAGCAAAAGAAGTTGGGCTTCGACTGTAAACATGTTATATGCATATATACACAAACACAAACAAATCCCAAGAATATAAATGGAAACAAATTGCACAATATATTCAAATATTTGGACCCCAGAACTCTTTCAGAGAAAAAGGAGATGTGACATAATCAATAAGGAACAGGGTTCTCACAAGTATGTTGACATTATTGCTTCAAATCAGTAGGGAAGTTTGTTTGTCTATGCTAACACATTCAGTGTAGATGAAATTGCAGGGATTTATATATACTAATATTTTGTGTTTGAAGAAAACATGTCCAAGACACTTGCTAGGGCTTTAGACACTACTTTTCAACCCATTTTGTGTTTCATGAAATACAAGCCTGGCACCTCTAATTCGGCCCCCTTGTTTTGCTTAGTGCGACCCCTAAAACAAACAAGTCTTCAAATTTATCCCTAATACATATTTTGAGTAATCTGGTGGCCGCGAGTGATAGGATGCGCCAGAGTAGCCAATATAATATAGAAGTTTGTCCCTGGATCAAGAAAATGCTTATGAACAAAAAGAGGAAAGAATTTAAGGAAAAGACTGAGAATGAAAGTTTGAATAGGAATATAAAGTACACATCTAATATGGCAGAAAATATCATCACAATTCCTGAATCAGCATCCCAAAAATTGAAAGAAAAGAAGAAGAAGAAGTGATTTCGAATACTAACAAGATTTGTTAATTGATTAATAATCATTTAAGAAAACAAAAACAAAATACCTCTAGACACCTTGTGTTTTTGCCATCCATGGCAGGTCCGCATCAAGAGAAAGATTATTCATTTGGTTGTTTGAAGAACTAGCAAATTTTCCCTTCTTAGACCAGAGCCATATCTTGGAAACAGAATAGCTATCAGTTTTTGATCCGATATTAATCTTCTTCCCCTCCGCGTCTCCATCAACTAAAGGATTTTCATTGTGTCCAGCCCCTTTCACAAGATTTACATCACCAATATTCAAGGCCACCCTGAGGTTTGTACCACCAACAACATACTGATATGAACCCATTGAGTAACACCTTCTTGCATCTAAATTACTGCTACTGGTCTCTTCTCCTCCTGTCTCCCCTGCCCCATTATTCAATTTCCTGAACTTACCAAGCCTCACAGGGAAAACCCCCTTGTCCACAACAGTTTCCTCAATCTCTACCGTCTTCTGACTCGCGATGAACCCATTTTCTCTACTACCATGAAAACCGTCGTCTTCTCTTGGATCATCAAAATCAAAAATTGGATTTTCAACAGAATACCCAGGAGTGAAGAGGGTCCCTCTACAAAGAGGACATGTTGAGTTTGATAGTAGCCAAGTATCTATACAATTGATATGAAAGGCATGACTACACATTGGAAGCAATCTCAGCTTGTCTGACTCGGAAAATTCACACAGACAAACAGCACATTCGAACGGATCTTTACGACCCACAATCTCTTTGTACATAAAAACAGGTAAAGCATCTATAAAAGCTTGATCCAGACCAGAGTCATGAAGATGGAATAGTTGTTGTAGTTGTCTCTGAAGAGCCTCTGAGCTAGAGACATCAGGGTATCTATTAGATTGGGAGGATGGTGAAGAAGATGGGTGTTTGATGAGAAATCTAACAAGAAGGTGGAGAAGGCCAGCTATGAAAAATAGAACAGCTAAAATCACTATAATAAAAAGAACAGCAGGACTAATTCTAGTGCCAGATGATGATGAAGGGGTTGATTCTTTATGAAAAGTAGGACCATATGGAGATGAGAAGGAAGGAGAAATAGGAGGTGGGTATGTCAAAACACCATCTCTCTCCCTGATTTGATGTTGAATCCAAGACATTTTCAAGTGGGTGTGCTCAGAAAACCATCGTTTCTCTCTGACTTCTGACAAAGAACAGATCATTTGTATACACTCAAAAACCATGCCCTTCTTGCTCGTAGATTAGACCCAACTCATTTTTATGACGAACAAACCAAACGCAAACACTTTTTAGTCTCTCATTGATACAAAACCGTAAAAGCATCTAGGGTATGGATGAAATCCTCACAACTTTCAGATTTTGATAAACAATACTATTATATATTGCTTTTAGATGAAAACCCAAATCACTGATTGAGCAATAATAACACAAGATGAGTCAGATGGCTTAGGAAAGTTAAGGTTTAGGGTTTACCTACCTTTGATACTGAAGAATCCACCATCAATGTTTTTAATAAAAGCTCCTGATTTGGACCCTCTTCTTGCAGCACCAAAACCCTAATAATATAAGAGAAAAGAGGAAAGTAAAATGGGGATCTCTCTATATATGTTACTTATGCCTAATTGTAGTATGTATGTATGTATACTGTATGTGTGTGTACGAGAGAGGGGGGAAGTGAAAATGTTGAAAGAGATTCTCTCCTCTCTGTTTTCTCTCTCTCTAGACTGGTAGAACTGTAGAAGCCAAAGAGTGGGGCCTGACACCGGTCAGGAGGAGTTCCCAAAGTGCAAGGTAAAGGATGCCAAAAAGAAACAACTCGGAATTAGTCACGCGCCCAAGAGAAGCGCGTGGAAATCATGGTCAACCATTAGGGACAAAATGCCTTATCCCATAGATTGCCCAGAAAGTCTAAGGGACTCCATGTGAGACCAAAGCCTTTCACACAACCAATCTTTAAGACCAAACAAAAAGGAAAATATGATAAAACAAAAATGTCAATATCTCTCATTTATATTTTGAATATTTCCTACTACTGTATATTTCTATATTATATATGAAAGAGTGACATGTCTTGAATTTGTCTTAGATATTTTCATATTCACTATTTTATTTTATTTTATTTCATTTGATCGTGGTGAGGTTAGAAGAACTTATGGGTGACAAATTTTGATAAGACTTGTCAATACGACTCGAACATAATACGAATTAAAACGAGTTTAGATTGACCTTAAACAGGTTCAGGTCGTAAACAGATTGACACGATTAACCCATTTAGTTAATCGTGTCGTGTTTGGGTTGAGGGTTCAACTTATGTAACCCATTTAACTATACGTGTCATAAACAAATTTATATTTAAGTTCAAAAATAACTATCTAGACTTGCATCTTATAAGTTATTTTTTGTAGATTAGAGATTATTTAATAATTTGATTGGATTGAAACTTATATTTTTCTAGTATTTAATGTTTGATCGAATATTATTAATAATTTAAATAATAAAATATTTGATTTTATTAAACAGGTCATTAAACGGGTTACACGTGTAACCCGTTTACTAAACAGGTCGAGTTAGTGTTAAAAGTTACTAATGCGATTATTAAACGGGTCGTATTCGGGTTTAGCTATTTAGTAAAATACTCTTATATCGACATGACATGATTACGACCCCGCGAACACAAATTGTTACCCCTAGAGAAACCTCGAAGAGATTCGAACTCTCCACTTTCACAATTTGAGATGAAAGTCTTTGTCGTTATTATTTTAAAATTTCATATTAATGATTGTTTTTTATTTTTATTTTTGAAGTACAAAAATTTTATTTGTTTGACAATTTTTCAAATCTTATTTTCCTAAAATAAGAGGATTTGTTTTCTAGAGAATAATCATTTATAGTAACTTTAAGTACAAATTTTGTTTTCAAGTTTCTTGAGAATTTAAATAAATTAAACCTAACAGGCCCTTCTTTTTTTTTCTTTTTCTTTTTCTTTTTCTTTCTAGTGTTATCTCATCCTTCTTTACAAAAGTCCTCCTAATGTTTTGGCGATAACATGGTGATTGAATGTGCCACTTTGGTGGCTCTCCAAACTGTAGCAACCAATTTAGCCATGTCCAAAGTCGTATTATTTTGTCTTTCAAGTTCAAGTTCTCATGGACAAGGCGGCCCAATCTAATTTGAAATTTTAGGCAAAAAATAAAAAGTGACATTTTTAATCATATAAATAAAATTAATCACAACTCAAAAATAAAATATACAAACTATGCACACAAATTTATAATAACAAAAGTTAATAAAATTAAAAAATAATTTAAGAAAAATAATCATTGAACCTAATTTTATAAAAATAAAATTAAAAATAATTAAAGAAAAAGAACCTTTAAACCTGATTTAGAAAACAAATACGTTCATAACAATTATAAACTTGTAATTGTTGAAAAGAAGAAGATAATAAATATATATATATATATATGGAAAGTTTTCGCCATTTTTCCAAACAACGTATATTTAATATTTTATTATTGGTTTAACTTACCCAAAAATATTTTTAGTGCTAGTATAAAAAACGTGAATGAGAGAGAAAGAAAGAGGGAAACAAAATATTTATGATACAAAATTTTGGGCCTAATATTAAATTTCTATATTGGTTAGGATTTATTGTAAAACATGAATAGAAATAGAAAAAGGGAAGGAAAAAAAGCCATATAATGATGTAAATCTTTGGAGGAGGGAGGAGGGAGAAAAGAAAAATAAAGTAAAAGAAAAGGAGTTATTTTAGGATATAAATATTTGAGGCCTAATATAAAATTGGAATGAATGAAGAGGGTAGCCTAAGGCTCGAGCCGGTCCTACTCATAGGGACACGAGCGTGTAAGAGATTTTTGCCGGGGCAAAAGAAGAAAAAAAAAAAAAAAAGAAGTTATTTTATATTTATTTGCTAAACTTGTATCCTCAATCCAGTTTGAATTGCATTATTTTAGTTTAACGTCACATGTCTTTAGTGGTTATTAGAAGGTGCCTTTGAAGGATTAAAAACATGTATTCTGTTTGAGGCTAAAGGCAAATTAGGTGAGGACTTTGGGTGACAATAACATATTAATTGTATATAAGAAAAGTAATGACATGTCATTAGGTATTTGAAAATTGGATCTACATTCCAACCACCACAACTACTGCTAGTGTGTCTCTTCTTTCTTTAATTATTTAAGCTTAAAAGCATAGCTGTGAACAGAGAGAATCATTCCCCATTAAGATGAGTGTTTTTTACCAGAGGTCATTATTAGGGTTAGTTGAGATGATAACTCAAAGAAGAAAAAAGACGATACACAAGAGTCAAATTTCTCGATTTCACTTGATTAAAATTTAGATGGTTAGTGCAACTTAAAAGGCACCAAACGTGACCTCTCAAGGTGATAAAAGGGGTTGAGTGGAAGGTGGTAAAGATGTTAGTAGGTTTGGATCGTCCAACAAATAATACAATAAAGCGAGCTAAGTGTCATGTCATCAATTTGAATTTGTAATGTGAAATCATTTCATTTCATTTGTTAGATACATTTCAGAATTAGCACTGGGTTCGGAAGAGTATCGCTAATAAAATAGAACCAAGAAATCAGTAACTTATTTTTCATGAGGTGTGATTCTTATTTATTCTTTTTATTATTTCGAATTCAGGTCCTTGTAGCATAAATCAAATCTCAACAGTAGTTGAATTTATTTATTATTAGCAGTTCCATTTTGCGGAAGACTTGATACACAAGTCCCTAACATTCGCATATTGGAGTTTTTTATGACTAAGATTAAAAGTGACAGCAAAAAGCAAGAATGAAAAACAACCTACTAGGTCTAGAGTTTCATAATTTTTTTCTTTGACTATTAATATGGCCTCTTGTTGCAATGGGGGTCTACATACCACCAAATGTGCGTATTCATGAGTTAGTGCATGACGACTTCTTATTTCTTCCTCACTATTGGTGGATTGATTATTTGGTGCACGACTTTAGTGCACTCTTTTTATATCCACATCTCATCTCCTCGTGCCATCATGGGCCTCTCCCTCTTGATAAGACCAACAAAATTCAACGGGTCCATTCTGTATTGTTCCGGATTTGAGATCATGATTAGACCAAGCCTGTGAAGGTCATGTATGGTAAGAGCTAGGCTTGATAGTTTACATTTCTCAATAGGAGAGCATGAAAGATGGATAATATCTACACAAGATGGCGGGTCGTGACAGTCAAAAATGAAAAAACGTACATTAGCTCACGAGGGCCAGGCCAAGGATGACGGTTAGTCCTAAGAGGGGGTGATTGTGACATTTCACATTGACTAGGGAGGAGAAGTTAGATTTGACTCCTTCACCTTGCATTAAGCACTTGTGAGTCAACATCATTAAGCAAAATGCATGAAGAATACCTTAATCACTGCATTGCATAAACCTGCATATAGTCCCTAACATCATTTCTATTCATTTAATTCAATGTGCAACATAAACTATAGACTCAGTACATATAAATTTATCATGTATCCAGTATGTAGATACCCCTTCCATAATTGTACAAGTAATGAAGCACATGAATGAAAATATTAATATGATCATGTTTAAGCCCCAATTTCATTGGTTTCCTTACGCGTCTGCATGTCCAGCAACATCATCATCACTTGACACACTTCCATTACTAATGCCATCATCACTGATCTCCTCCTCGCTATCTTCTGTCAGCGCACCGGTAATATTCTCCTTCTTCGCGTATTGCTCACAGTACTCTGTCATCATGTGTGGGGGATTCAGAAATGCATTTGTCACTATTAAAAGCTTACTGCTTCTACTTCAGGCTAGAAGCCTAACAGGAATCCATTCTCTAAAGGCTCCATATAAAAAGAAAAAAGAATCAAATCAAAGCACCACAAAGGGAAAAAAAGATATTATGAAGATGTTGACAAACACCAAATTGGTTATGTGTGGCTCTTTTCCAATGTACGTTTCAATTACATAGCAATATCATAAGATAAGGCCACAAAATATAAGCTGCAGAAGATTTGCCAAAAAATATAATATGAGCTGCAAAATGCTGAATTCAAGGCCGTAAATTAGGGGAGAAAAGAAATGACCCGCTCGCTCCTTAAATGATACTACACGAAGAGTCTTAAAACAAAAATTAGGAACTAAAATTTTAGTGTTGAATTAGTGGTACAGAAAATTTTAAGCAACTGAAGTTTTAAAACTAAAAAAAGTAAATTTAAATATTAGATTAAAGTTTGAATTTGCATTCGCATTTCACTCACTGCACAGTATTAGTTAAAAGCATGTCTCTTTAATTTTAAAGAAAGATTTACCTCTCACTTTCTGTTCATATTGCTTCTGATCCTTCAGCATCAGTGATGCCGCTTCACTATTTAATGGGTCTGAAGGATTTGGGTAAAGCAAAAGCTGTGGAAGAAAAACCTCAAACACATTGAGAAGATCTGCAACTCAGAATAGCCATGGTAAGAAATTCATCCACCCTAGTGAAGACCAAGTATACGAAAAACAGACACATACACTTTAAACTAGTCAATATTTCTTGTAGGCATTGTTTGTAAGAGACAAGGACGCAACAATATTTGGGTCCAATACAACGTAATGTCATAATCTGTTGAGGAACAGTTTGATCATTTTACTCATCTAATATTATCCTTGTTTCCCTCTTCTTTAAAGAAGAGCTGGTCTATGATTTGAAACCCTTGAATCTCCTAATGTTGGACCCTATTATGATGAGTTTTATGCTACAGAAACTGTGGTGTAATTGTTCCCATTGATGACACTTGAAAACCTATTCCTTGGGTGTGAAGACCCGATGCAAGTTGGTCCATACAACTGTAAGAATATCATGCATAAGCATGTTTATCTGTAACCCCCAGACCGTTTTTCCCTCCTAATAGACTAGAGTCAAGTTGCCAACTGGTGAAGAGCTCTTGGAAAATTTTCTTGCACAAATCACTTTGTGTTTTCTTTTTGGACGGGTGAGGAGGGGGAGTGGGAAGTTTCTGCTTGCACACATAAAAATATATTACAAGAACTTGGCATATGGTCTTTAAAAAAGTTTACCAAACATTGGAGTCCATGATTGATTAATAACATCCAAGCATACAGAACCAGACCTGCGGTGGACCAAGAAATATCAAGTGAGCATATAGCAACTTTATTAACAATAATACTTCAGCAGACTCTAGATACGTGCTCAGCTCTCCAATTTTAAAGATACATCAGCAAAGCAATATAACAAAATGAAAGAAAAAGGCATCTACACTTCTTTGTTACCCTAACTTGGGCACTTGTATCAGGTTTGGTGCTTGTCTAGGAACCTGATCTCCCTACAACCCAAATTCCAGAATACGATAACTTAAGAGGCTAGGAATATGCCCAATAATTGGGTACAAGTACGTAGATACATCCTTATATTTTAATAACATTATGTGGTAAACAATATTATGATGTATTTGACTATTTGTTACTTAAGGATTTACTTGATACATTTAAATTTAACAGCATGTTATGGAGAAAAAGGTCCTCTTATCCTTCTCTCTAAATTAAGGTATGAAGGTTTCTCCACTATCAAATTTAAGGTTTTCCTTCATCCTCTTCCATCATCACACTAAGGGCATCGGTACTTGATTTGGGTATGTGTGTCAAACGCATTTCACATATGCGTATTCATGCATTGTCGGGTTGACAAGGGTACCTTGGTGTAAACAGAAGAATCCATGTAAAACAGCCACATATTCTTTTCTTCTCATGAAAGAACACTTAAAAGGTTTGTCACCACAACTTAATTTTCTAATAACAAGAAACATAATGTTTTATTATCAATTGTTTCACATTTCATTAATCAACATTACACGAGCAATAATTTCTGGTGTAATGCACCAGCCGAAATGAACATCTATATGAATGTGCAAGTAGGCTCACAGTTCATCGACATTTGGGTGGAATATTTTATTCAGAAATCCAATGGATGGAGACTTGTAAGGGTAAGCGTCAGGCAGCTCCACACGGATTTTCCAGACACCACCTTCATACAGGCCTGCAACAGCAAAATGCATCAATAAGACATAACAAGAGATAAAAGCCACAAATGTAAGTACCTTCACAACATAAAAAGGTTAAAACATAAGACATTAGGCAGACACATCTTAGGTGCAAAAGGGAAATTTAGAAAAGGAAATTGACTACATTATCGTGACAAGACAAATTGCTGACTAACGTGAGTGTATTAACCCTAGACAAAAACTCAACACAAACCTCCAACTGAAAAAGAGGAGAGGCAAAGGGTAACCAGATCTCTCCAGAAGCTTGAGCAAAAAATAATTTCCCTCATGTAGAAAAATAATATTTCATGAAGTAATGGCCACTGACACCAGTCATCTGGTCGTGTAATAAATTTAAAAAGAATATAGGTATCAATAAGTAGAAAATTAAGAATGGAATGCCCAAACATGACTCGTTAAATATCGTTTCAGTTGTTATGTTAATCAGGTTATGATTCTACAAATAAGTTTCTATGTGAAGGGATGGACCTATAGTGTAGTCAGCTGAATTTTTATCTTAATTTTTTTTATAGTATTAATAGTAGTAAATTTCCTTATTTTGAGTTACATACCTATTAAATTTTCATATTGCCCCCCCTGAAATTACAAAAAAAAAACTACAAAAAAAATCCTACCATTGATAGAGGAATCCCTTGAGTTGGGAAAACAGGGATTATTTCACTACCCAGAAATCAGTGTTAGTTTAAGCTGTCTTATATTCTTGCAAAACGTATATAGTAGAGAGAACTCTTTTCATCTCTAGGCATGCGCAAACTTTTGCAAAATATCAAGTCCTTGTGTGTATGTCGTAGTCTGTGTTAATTAATTATATTATTAGATCTCATGGTGGGTGCAATTCTAGCAGGCACAACATGTGGAATCAGAACTAGGTACATCCAACGATGATCAATAAACCCAGATTTCTCAAAAAGCCTATTAGGGTCTACAAAGTGATCTTAGACAAACTTAATATTGAAAATTAAAAAATAAACAAAAAAGGAACAAAATAAAGCAAGGAAAATTAGAACCAGAAAACAAGAAGAAAATCATTCCAAGATGATTTGCACCGAATAAAGTATCCAACAGACATCCAATGAATTTTACACCTATATTGTGGAAGAGAATAGCAGCATTGGGAAAGCAAAAGACAGACTGTTTCTACATAAGCTCGTCCAGAGTTTTTCTCTATACATTCCATCCACAAGATTTAAAAATCAGATAAAAATATTAACTAATTAATTACAGAATGGCAATGGTAGATTTTGTTTGACAATTAATTTCATTTTCACAGCCAAAAATTGTATTCAGCAATCAAATACCAGTTTTATGCCCTTGCAGGTTATTGTGGAACACGGATGAACAGATTATTCATCCATCCCTTTTATGAAATAAAAGTGGTAGCAATTGAAAATTTATGTTATACACAAAAAGAGGACCTGATGTCTAGAATCAACCAGGAAACAGGGATCTTGTGGTTAGCTTTAACAAGATAAAGGAGAAAAATGGGGCCCTTAAAGTGTCTTCAAAAGCTACGAAACATACCTTAAAATGTAAATCTGAAATCGTTGAAAGCCAACAGTCTATAGTCCTAGCCACAAACACCCAAAGCTATGATTTCGCTTGTATCATGCTGAGGATGTACATAAATTCGCTCCAGTGGCAATGGACAAAGTTAACAATCAGCAAAGAACATATTTTAAGTTGAATGAATAGCTTGAATCAGACAGCATAAACTTTGCACTAAAAGAATAACAACCACACTCTTCAACAGAATGCATCACTGTTCAAGTTTCAGATAAAAAAAGGAAAAAGGAAAAACAACGAGATAGATAGAGAGAGAAGCATCCATTGTAATAATCGCCAACGTACTATTTTCAATGGTAGTAGCATGCATAGGGCAGAAATATTACTTTCTTTTGGACCATGGAATTCCACATTAAATTCACTAATTCCATCATTTATTGGCTCCACAATGTAGTCACTCATCATCCTACAATGAGAAGACAATAGGTAAATAATAATATTAAGAAGATCCCTGACTACAAAATGTAATTCCAATATGAGAAATTGCACAATAAAAATTCATTAAGAAGATCCCTGACTACAAAATGTAATGCGAACTGAAAAACCAAAGAGTTTGACAACCCAAAATATTTTATGGTAGCAATAACTGCAGAATTTTAGACAAATGAAACAGAAAGAGACAGCATAGAAGCTCATGTCAGTAAAATATAATCAGAACGCAATAAGTAAAAAAATAATAATTAAGAATCGCTTTAAAAATCCTTACAATTTCATGACGTCTATATCTCTCCTCTTGCTTGGAAAAGACATTTTCTAATTTGTAAAGATTACCTAGTCACCAACCTGCCAAATAACAAAAGAGGAGATGCCAACCACTTTAAGTGCTGCATTTTCTTAAATTCATAAAAAGTTCATATCAAACATGAGAGCAAAAATTAAAGCATGTCAACAAAAAGTATAGAAGGTGTCGTGCAATAACTTGACAGAGAAAAAAACATTATAAGTATCTCAAATCCGAAATTTTCAACTCCAACAGACTAAGGGAATGTGCGTGCATATCTGGAAAGCGTCAGGCCAAGATTAATGGTCCGTTACAAGAAAGTCAATTCCTTAGAGCTTATTAATATGATGTTCACCTAAAATCTTGATTCATAATAATCCATCACCAACACCATCTTTTTGTAAAATTAACCGACTGAAATATCCTAGATAGCTTCTCAATTCAACTCAATAAATTCTTCTCCCAACTGAGAGCAGTTATCATGTATTTACATTCCCAGCAATTGACATGTTGTGATATCTTTCTTTACTTTCTCAAAAAAAAAAAAAAAAAAAATTAAAAATTAGTAATAATTTTGGTCATCCCCTTCCCTAACATTATCCTCTCAAGTTACAAACCATGTCACTCTTCCTCACTAGTGCAATTATTGATATTTGCTGCGCATAACCAAACCATTTTAATTAATCAATTTCATCTCATTTTATTTCCAATTGGTACTTCAACCATTTGTTCATCCCAATTTTATCCTTTTTAACATAAAATCTTTGACAAAATTTAATAACTAAAATGAGAGAGAGAGAGAGAGCACCAGCAAATATTATCTTGCAAGTTGCAACAATACCAGCAATGGAAACATAGGATTCATGTAGCCGACCCCAAGAAGATGGAAAAAACACTTGATTGTTGTTGTTGTCAGGTTGCAACAATACCAGGGGCGTTCGATTCAGGACTGGGAGATTGAGGAGGCAATTCGTTTCTTGGAGTTGTTGTATCGCCAGAGGATTGTGGTTGGGGATTCTGATAATTGGACTTAGGTTGCCAACTCTCAGGGGCGTTTCGAGGTTAGGTCCTTTTTCAGGTGTCTCTCGGATGAACCTAGAGTTCGCTTTCCTTAGAAGTCTGTTTGGCACTCAAAGGCTCCTCTTAAGGTGGCCTTCTTTGCGTGGACCTCTGTTTTAGGAAAGATCTTAACCCAGGATAACTTAAGAAGGAGAAATCAGGTGGTGGTCAATCGTTGCTATATGTGTCTTCGTGACGAGAAAACAGTGGATCACCTTCTCCTTCAGTGCACCATGGCTAGAGAATGCTGGGATTTGATGATGGGCTTGTTTGAGTTTCTCTGGGTTATGCCTAGATCCGTTAGAGGGTTGATTAAGGCTTGGAGAGGTTGCTTTGTGGGGGCTCACATTTAGGATGTTTGGAGGGCTACGCCTCTTTGTGTGTGGTGGTGTAATTGGCTTGAGAAGGGTAGAAGATATTTTGATGGGAGGAGATGTCGATCTTCATTCTTAAATTCTCTATTCTTTCCACTATTTTTTGTTGGATTTCAAGGAGAGATTATAGATCTTTAGAGGAGATTGTCGATTTTTTGGCCTCTCTGAAGGCTTAGAAGTCCTTTGTGGCCTTGTGTATTTCTCTTGAGATCCACTCCCCTTTGGAGTGCTTTTATACAATTTTCCTTATAAAAAAAAAAAAAAAAAACAATACCAAAGTTAAGTTTCCAAACCGATTTAGGAGTTCAAAATGGCATGGGAAAAACTGATTGAAAAATGACTTGTAGCAACCTGGTGAGGTTGCAATGGATGGAAAAGACATGTTCCAGAAACAGTGGGAATTTTTTTCCTTCTGTGGGGATAAAAGCACAATACCAAAATGGTTATATTTAATAGACATGTTGTGGGAAAACTTTTCCTTCTGTGGGGATAGATAAAATCCCAAATCCCACTATCTTGGGTCATTTTGACAAGGTGGAAAATCATCATAATGAAATCCAGGAATTTGCGTATCTAAAAGGACAATTCAAGATTGTAACTAAAGCATTACTTCTTATTAAATTTTTATATTTTTTTTGAACCTATTGGATTGTCGACATCCATAGACGCTCTGATTTTAACTAATCTCCAAAATTTTGCACTGTATTATTTCCTCTTTCCCTATCAAATGACTTTGTGTGTCATTGGTCTTTGCAATAAATTTATGTTCAATTCATTAACCTTTCTACATATCATTCATCAAAAGAATGAACACAATGTTAGAAGAATCAGGCACTTGGAAGATCACCAAATTAATTAGAAAGAGAAAGTGAAAGCATTCAAAATATCAAACAACCAAACCAGTATGTGAAGCAGAAATTAAAAAAGGAACTGCACTGAGAACAGTAACCAAAGACATATGAGAAACTTGAAATAAGGAAATCATTAATAATATTAAAATAAATGCAAACAAACACCAAATAAACTAGCAACATATGTGGATAATCATATGCTTTGCTGGAAAATCAAAATGGAAAACTTTTGGGAAATGCTAACATATGGCTTCACAAAGGACTGACAACTGAAAACCCACCAAACAAAAATAATCGTACTAGATCATATTTACTTTCACAAATTCTGTTGCAAACTAGGTATATTCTCGATTCAAAAGCAAGAAAATAAAAATATCATCCAACATAAAACAATCATCGAGAAACATAAGATTACATTTGTCGCAATCCTCGTTACAGTAACATCAATGTCATCAAATATTTCAGATATGATTTAATCTCAAACTATATGTAGTAACAGTCTTTCCAATTCAAAAGAAAAATAGAAAACAAATCTGCTTAAGACAAATGAACTAACCCGAGATGTTCAAAAACCCCCATCGAAAGCATTATAAATTAAAGATTTAATTAAATAATTAAATAAATAAAAGAACTAACCCAAGATCCGTTGGATGATCGGTGAAGAATAAATACAGTTTCTTTTGTATGATGTGGATCCAAAGAAGTGATCGGAGAATAAAGAAGAAGATTGAAACAGAAGGTGGGCAGAGACGCTGGCGAAAATATTTATACAGAGTAATAGTGGACAAGTTTCCAGAGGCACGTGCAAAGTCTGTGGGTGACACGTGGCTTGTAATGTTACGGAGTATTTTATTTTTATTATTGAGAAATTATTAGTTATAAAATAGTAATTGTAGTGAGTTACGGTATTTGGACAACTATTTTGAGATTTGCGATTTCTAAATCAAACACTGATCTTCGATCATAATTTCTCGATCAAGGACCTACGTATCTGTGCTGTCATGTTCAAAAGGTAATTTGGATTCGTTATGCTAAAGTTTTAAATCCCATCCATCAATTTATTAATTTGATTACAAGAACAATATATACACACACATATGTTCACCTTCAATTACTGAGGAATAATAGAAGTTTACCGTATTAAATATTTTAAAGATTATAATTTAATAATTTATAGAACACACGAGAAGTTCTGCTCAATTTTTTTTATCTTACTTTTAACTTCGCAATCCAAGTATATTTGGGTCTTCTAAAATTTCGAAAAATACTATACGTCACAAATTTTATTTTGTATTTTATCTTTACTTAGTTACAAATTTTTACCATGGATGAGTGATGATAAGAACTTTAATTTACATAATTAACTTAAAAGTCTTTTATAATTATATTTTGATTTGATATTTTTTAATTACAATTAAATTTTAAAGACATACCTAACAAAGGTATAGATAGAGTTGTTGAAAAACATAAAGAGTGCATAAAATTATATATATATACATATTACACACACTTGTATATGTATTGAAAAAGATTAGTAAAGAGGAAAACAAATTAACAATAGAGAGAGAAAACCCTATTGTAATTATTTGTTCTTTCATTTTCCTTCAATTGACACAATTCATTTAGTTCAATTTGCTAAAATAAGAAACACAAAGTCATAAAAAGATTATAGTGTGATATATATTAAATTAGAGAATGACAGTGTCTTTTTAACTATCATAACATCAAATTCAAATCACATTTCAAATTTTAATTCGAGATTGTGTAACACTGTTCTAAAATTTCATACGTCCCAAAATTACTGGGCACAAGCCCTTTGATAATTTATCTTCATGTCTTCTTTAGTAATTTTGATAAAATCCCGTGGGGGGAAATTCATTATGTTAAAATTTCATGTCCCGACAGGAAGAAAAATTGCCCCCACAGGATTTTATTTGCCTTATTATTGCCATCACATTAGCAATTTAGAAACCTGAACCATTTGCATCATTTGCCCATGCATCTAGTTAAGATCAACAACACCTTCTAACATGCCAACAACAAATTGATATTAGAATTGGGAAGAAAACAAGCTGTGCAGAACAACCAAAAAGGGAAAGGAAAACTTTGCAAACCTCTTGAGAAGCAAGCACATATTGCAAATAGAAACAGTGTTTTAATTTCCTACAAGCACAGAGATGAAACCAATGTGTAGAAGCCATTGTTGAGCATAAAATATTCACAAACTACTCGCCAATTTGGTTTTCCGAAGGGTTGATAGTGAACCTTCAAATTCTAAGCATCTATGCTGAATTTCATCGTCGCACAATGGCATATAAAACAGCACATGCAGCAAATGGTTATTCAATCAATTATATCAACTTCTTGAACCACATAATTCTCATGTTTTTGGTTCTTTAAGAGCATCATTGGCTCCAGAAAACTTATGGATATAAAAAAAAAAAAACCCATGGACTGGATTTGCAACAGGAAATAATGCTTAACATGGAATTGTAATACTATTATCCTCAACTTCAAAGAAGTGCCTTGTTGAGGAACTAAGAGGCAAGACAAAATGCCAAGTGGCAGTCAAACTCCGGCAGGATTAAAGTTTTTCCCCATAGTAATAAGCAGTGCCAACCATTAATGCAACAGTAGCTCCTTGGGCAACCACACGAGCTCTCATCAGCTTCTGACCCAAATGAGAATTCCCCTGTCTGAAACTAATTAGCCCTGCTGTGAGCACTCCTGCAGTGAGAAGCGCACCTGAAGAACAAGAATATATATATATATATATATATATATATATATATCAGTTATATTGCTCATGGAGAATGAAATATGAATTCATTCCGGAAAACAATATATGTTATACCATGTTTTTGATAATGGTGATCTTATTGATTTAGCTCCATCATAAGCAGCTGTTAATTCTAAAGTGGTTGCAAGGTATTCTCTGTTGTGCTTGCCAAAAAAAACAAAAAAAACACAACACAAGAAGAAGAAGAAGTCTTCTCAGTGGCACATGAATACAGATTATAAACTTAAGTTTTAATGGGAATGCATAGTCCCTTTCCTTTGAATTCAAAACAAGAAACATCTACCACCGGGCCATTGCCCTAGGTGGTATGAGCTCTCCTCCCCAAATGGGAGGTGGGCAATTCAAGCCCCACGCAATGTGGGGTGTGTAAGTACTAAGTAGTGTATGCGTGTATTACTGTATTGCTTACCTACCCCGCGAGAGAGAGAGAGAGAGAGAGAGAGAGATTAATTAAGTGAAGGAAAATGAGCCCAAATGCATGATTCAGAATCTTAAATGGCAAAGTTAATATCATCAATCTTCACCAAGAGGAAATATGAATTCTATAAGACACACCACTACCTTTACCACTATAACCACCTCAACTGCACCACACAATATCACTAATACCATATGGCCCATACCTAACCTACTTCCAACAGACTGCCACCACACAAACCTGCACACTTCTGCCACCACAACCACACCAGTGCAACCAATAACGTTAACCTGACTTGGATTGTCGATTGGAAGCTCCATCTACCCTCTAGATCATCAGTGATAAAAGTCTAAGACATAAACTTTGTCGATTGTGCCATAACAGGTTGTGTCCTTAATAGAATGCACTTTGTGACATAAACAAGTTTATTAAAAAAAAAAAATACCAACGGGCTTGCGGCCTAGCGGTATCAGACCCTTGCTTCCCAAAGGGGGGTCAGGGGTTCAAGCCTGTGGAGGCATGTGTGTGTGAGTAAACAACTAAGAAAAAAAAAAAAGTTTATTAAAAATAAAGATGTGTTATTGAGACAATTGGACATTTTTGGAATCCTAAAGCTTATCATGGGATCTAGCAGAATCATAGGCTGGATTTTGCAAGATCAAGCTTATCATCCAGGATTGCTATCCAACACAAAATTACATACGGTTGTAGCCCAATGGTACTTCCTCACCTTCCAAGGTAGAAGGTCAAGGGTTCAAGTCTGCATAGGAGCATGTGGGCGTGTGAGTTTCTTTCCGGGATATATATATATATAAAAGAAAAAGAAGAAGAAAGAAAGAAAGAAGAAGAAGGAAAGAAAGAAAGAAAACAAGATATGGCCTCAGGTAAAGGCATAGGTTATAAAAGAAAATAGGACTTGTAAAGTTGACCCATTGATTAGTTCTCAATTTGTTTGAAGGAAAACTATGTTATAGAAATGAATGCATTTGTAATGTTGGAAGAGTGCAATTATTGCAAAGTTGTTAGGCTATATGATTCTAGGATTCACATAAATGATATGAGGCATCCAACAATTGATAGAAGCATCCTATCAGAACGGAGAGACGTCATGAATACTAACATTCTAATAATTACAATTTCCTCTCATGTAAGATTCCCATACCTAAACATGGTGGTGGTTCCCTGAATAACCACTAACTTGACCATCAAAAGATGTGAAAATAAACATCACGTTGAACATGAGAAGATAACCAGTTGGGAAAAAGCAAAGTGAAGTGAAATACTTGGATTACACAAAACTCATGAGGCTAGAGAAAGACACTACAATTATGATCTATCATTGTTTGGTTGTCAAAGCCATTTCAATTTTTGAACATATAATAATGTGCCTTCACCTTGTCAATTCTGTTAAGCTTATTAAGTTCTTATTTAATTAAACTTGAGGAACCGAATATAAAACTCAAAAATAGTTTCTCAAAATCAGAACTGAATTTTATATAAGAACTGTGATAAATAAAGCACGACAGAAGGGTAGCCGCATATAGTCAGCATTAGAAACATGTGCCTTAGGTAATATAATAACGTGTGTAATATGGAACCTAAGAAGTCACCAAGTACATATAAAGCTCATGCTTTAACCAGGAAAAGTTTTTGGGCAGGTGTGCAACCCAAAAAGTGTTTTTTAAGTTCCTTTATAATACAGAAATTGTCATTGGCAAGGTGTAAACCAATAGTTGAGTACTGTGTCAAGGCCCCCGGTTAGCAAAATGATCACCTTTGATTTGTCAAAAACAATCCAATGGGCACTTCCAGAGCACTCCTGATGCAGTCAAGTTCAAAATTTTGAAAGCTCCTGATGAGTTCAAAGTATCTATTTCTGACATGACCCATGCACTCGAATGTGTGTAATACAATAAGGCCACATTTGAGTGCCGAACAGGATTAATGGGATAGGACTATTTTGAACGAGTAACGCCTAACCCATGTTAGGCAGCACTAATCAGAGTACAAAATGCTGTACTATTTGTTTGGGTGCCTAGGTGGACTAATTAATCAACATACATGGTACCAATCCTGGAATAAGAGGCTCAAATGGAAGAAGGGTAAAAACCAGAACTGCCACCTATGAAAACCCACTTGCAGTCCAAAAGCCTTAGTCTCTGTGTGTATTGATCTCGCTCTCTCTGTCTCACTCTCACACCCATCACCACCAAGGGTTCTTACAAGGGCTGCATTTTTTCCAAATGAAAAGGGCATTGGTTTTAAATAAATAGATTCTTCGGTTTGCGGAGTATTGTTATGAATTCTTGTCACACGTCTCAATTCTCAACAGTGGTAATTTTTCCTCAAATTTTCACCAGAAAACCATGTGATGTTTCAACAATACTTAATATGTTACACAAGATCTTTGTGAAATTCATCCTTCATTTCTCCAGGAAGGTGGTAATTCTGAGATCCACTTGTCTTTAGCATATTACCATGGGTCGACCTGTATGAGGGACATCCCAAACATTATCCAAGGACTGCATTCTGGGATTATTTACTCTACCCTTAGACATGTGTTTCACCATTAAAAATATCCTCAGTAAGAAAAGAAGGGTTTTCTACTTGGTGCATGAAGAGATAGATATAAACTACTTTCTTCATTACATCACTTTCACCAGTACATCCCATTTAATTTAAATTTCATTCAAATTGCATCTTCAAATAATATTAATATCATACATAAGGATTTTTTACGAGTAACATCATACCTTACAACAATATAAAATATGGTGTCTTTAAAATATATGGTATGCATCCACGTCATTCATGGAGGTCCAACACCTAGACACACTTGGAAGACAAAACCCCTAAAATTAGTCTACCTGGGCAGCAACTCCATGCTAAATGATCCATTGGCGTGATACACAGTAATTGCAAGGGAAACCAAAATAGATTGATGTCCTTTCAATTAGATGAATGGAAGGACGATCAAAAATGAAATTAGGATAAATACATTCCTGAGAAACCAGATGTAACATAATCACGGAAAGGACAGAAAGCTCGCTGAAAAAGTTTATGTGAAGAACAAAGGCCAGTAATCCACCATTATAAATGAACAAGAACAAAAGGTTTGTAGCTGAACCCCTTAAGGGCCAAAAAGCAACCGAAACGGAATACGGGTCTACGGGTTGAGGAAGAAAAAATTAACAGACATTGGCAATGTGGCTTGGGTTTGCATTTAGACATCGCTTGGGCGTAGAATTGCAGCAAAATATTCATATCCTCCCCCCAACCCCAAACATTTCAATAACAAGGTAACAATTTTCTATCCCGCAAAACAAGTCCTCACTCATTTCTTTTGCTCTAGCTGATTCTAATCAAAGGCTTGTATTTTATGGGGTAGGAGTATCGAATTCGATACAATATGCGTAAGAATGGAAAATCTAGGTCGCAAAAAATATAATGAAACAAATTTTGAAACCAATTCGCATCATATTCAACAAATGACTAAATCGCAATTACCAAATGGATCCAAACGATAAACAAAACGACATGAACCTCACAATTCATATATATATGTGTGTGTGTGTGTAAAGAAAAAAGCTGTTGATGATATACCAATGGGGACGAAAGGGTTCTTTACGCGCTTCTTCCCTTCAAACAATTCTTCCAGTTCGGAATTAGTCGCTCCCATCTTTTCCATACAATTGAGAGATTTGATGTCTCGCCAACAGATGTATCACAATTACAAGAAGAAATGCACCTCTGCCGAATGACGAGAAGAAACCCACCTATCCCTCTCTTCTCCTCTCTCTCCGCGTGTTTGACACTTGTGGCTCTAAAGGCGGCGACGAGGAGACTAATCTGAGTCTGCGAGATATTTCATACCGAAAATTCGGCGATTGGACCCAAGACCCTAAAATTATTGACTAATTTCAGTCGGCTCACTATTTATGGATTTATTTTATATTTCCCACCCTCTTTTACACCAGAAACGTGTAGAGGGTGATCTATCTCAAATGAGAATTGTCATATACCGAGTAATTTACATGTAAATAGGAGTTAAATTGTTGGCTAAAATAGTATAAGTGTTATCGAATTATGTAATAGTTTTTAGAGTTTTAAGGTATCAAACAGCACTCAACTCGGACTAAAAAAAGTGACTGGCCATGGTTGATTTATTTGTTCACGTTTATGGGTTTCAAAATATTTGAATACTTTAAAAACTGTTTATCTAATTATTTTGGAACAGAAAAAATAGTTCTTTTCTTTCATTATTAATAAAATAAAAATAAAAAGTATTTTTTGTTACGCCACACCATTGACACAATTGCAAGGCTACACAAGTTTTTTCTCTATAAATTTAAAAAGAAATGTGAAGGGAATAATAAATTAAATATACTCAACTAGAAAAATGAGTAAATGCAGGAAAAAATTAATTAATAAATGTAAAAAACTAATTTATTGAGTAATTAATAGTAGTTTTGTCCGAATCTTTTTTTAAAGTTTTAACCTTCAAAAAAGAAAAAAAGTTGACAGGGATCACAACTCTGTCAATGGGTCCACTATGCATAAACCCTTCATTAGTATGATTTTATAATTTTACTTCCAAAATTAATGTGAGTAGTCTGTACCACCGACTGTACTTATTAGTAAAAGCAGACCGACAAGACGATTGCAGGGTAGAGAGAGATGGCATATGGCTGGTATTGTTACAAAGATATGGTGGCATTTACAGGTATGGTTGTAGTGGAATCCATCAATGTAGGCTTAAACATATTATTCAAAGCAGCCACACGCAAAGGGATGAGCAGCTACGTTTTCATTGTCTACTCTTATTTGCTTGCAACTTTACTTCTCCTACCTTCCTCGCTCTTCTTCCACAGGTATATATATATATATATATATATATTATGTTCTTTCCTTTATACTTATATAATATCCCCAATTGATCACACCATATATTATTCATTTAAGGCCGTCTACTAAATTTTACTCCATCAATTTAATTTGCTTTATATACTCTACTTTTATACAGATCTGCCACGCTTCCTCCATTCAGCTTCTCTCTTTTTTGTAAAATCTGCCTCCTTGGGATTATTGGGTAAAATCTTATACTTTACTTTTTTAAAAAAACAGAAAATTAATTGAGCACCGGTGCTTCAGCTCTGGGATCGGAGTTAATTTAGTGCAAATTGAATTAAATTTCCTCCGATCCTAAATCCAAGTAGTAAGAGATTTAGTGAGGAAACCGGTGTGTATCTCATGTATAAATTGTTTATTTATTGTTTGGGGGACAGGTCTTTAACTGAGATATTTGGATATGCTGGTGTGGACTACAGTTCTCCAACTCTAGCTTCAGCGTTGAGCAACCTCACACCAGCTTTTACCTTCATTCTTGCTATAATTTTTAGGTTCTGCCCAATTATCTAAATTATGTTGTTCATAGTTTATTTTGTTTTCTTGATTTGTGTTTTTGGATTTATAGCCATCATTTAAATTTTTTATATCTTCATCATTTTCAATTCCATTAGTTATGGAAACATATCGATTACTAGAGCAGTATGATCAGTTGGTTCCCATGACAATCACAATTACATAAATGAATAGAATTACTAATCAAAATAAATAAATAAATAAATAGATACATAAATGAATAAAGTTAATTAAGAACACCTAGAATTTGACTGGGCTACATTTAAGCGCAGTAAAATTTATATTTATTCTTGAATGCAATGTCCCACCGGATATGTATGCCTTGGATGCATTTAAGTGAGCCTTGTTTGGCTTCCTCTTTCGGTACACTTTCTTCGGAGAGAATATGGGTATTTGTTGCATAAATTGGACTGACCTAGAACGAAAGAATTTTATTGCATTTCATGCATTTGAAATTTGAAATTACTACAGAACCAGAGTCCTTCCCGGTAAACAGAATTAGCCATAGTGAAGAGGATTATTGAGTCTTTAATTGTATTGTTCCTTGAATGCAGTAGTTTAAATTGTTACACTTCTATATATCAACAATGAGTCCATTGTCTATAATGTCACCACCAATTAGCAAATTCTTTGTTTTGGCCCCTCAAGTATGGAAAAGCTGGTTTTGAGAAGCTCAAGCAGCCAGGCTAAAATCGTGGGTACCATAGTATCAATATCAGGTGCATTTGCAATGACGCTATATGAAGGCCCACCCATTGTATTGACTCTATCGCCATCCAAATCACTTCATTGGCCTCACAGTTTGTTACAATCGAACTGGTCAATCGGTGGCCTGTTACTTGCAGCAGAGAATCTTCTGGTCCCCGTGTGGTTCATTATCCAGGTGATCTTATAATTGGTTCATTGCAAGAATGTTGAGATATTCTATTATTGATGACATTGGAAGAATTAAGTAACAGAAACTAAAATTTAATTGTGTATAACACTTGAATCACAGGCCAATATCATGAAAGAGTACCCGGTAGATCTTGTCGTCGTATTTTTGTACAGCTTATGTACAACTGTCATGTGTGCAGCAGTAGCTTTAGTTGCAGAACCAAACTCCAGTGCTTGGAGACTAAAAGCTGATATATCCCTGGTTGCTATTGTATACTCAGTAAGAAGCTAATAAACCATAGTGTTTGGCATGAAAATTATTGATAAAGCCACTGATAATGTCTAAATAATGCTTTTCTTTGTGTATAGGGACTCTTCGAGTCATTTATCAGCACTGTTATACAGACATGGGCCTTGCGTTTGAAGGGCCCAGTTTACGTCTCATTGTTCAAGCCATTGTCAATTGCTATCGCAGCTGCTATGGGTGTCATGTTCCTAGGTGACACACTACATCTTGGAAGGTCCAAATTTCTCTCTCTCTCTCTCTCTAACTATTTCATTTACCCAAAAACGTATAGATACATATTGTCTTTTGTTCACTTGTACACATAGAGTAGACCCCAAAGAACTACAAAAAGTATTTGCTTTAGTGAGTTGAATTAGTATTATTATTAATTTGCTTAGTCATTTTCTCTTTTTATCTTGTGACATGTAGTGTTGTTGGAGCAATAATAATATCTATTGGATTTTATGGTGTGATGTGGGGAAAAGCAAAAGAAGAGATGATGGAGGGCTCTGGAGTTGGTAGCTTGGACCAATCTTCTACTCAAACGACGGCTCTATTGCAACACCATATAAGTGAAAGTTGCCGAAAAAATACACTACTGAATGATGGCTAAATTTGAATTAATGATGAGCTCCTTAATTAGCTACTTCCATTTTTAACACTGAGGAAGCATTCCCAGCAGGTGATATAGCTGCACCTGTCAGGATTTGCATTTCAATATGAATTTTTATTTTCAGAAACAAACTCAAATTGCTTGGAGAGTAAGAGCAGATATAGCATTGGTCGCCATTGTATACTCGATATGGACCTAATAATTGGACAATCATTTGAGAGTAGTGATTATAAAGAAAGAGCAAGATATTGGTAATTTCAAATTTTAAGTCTCTTCTCTGTGGTTGGGACTCTCTGGTTCATATTTTGGTAGTGTTGGTTCACACATGGGGCCTGCGCTGGAAAGGCCACATCTATATGGCGTTGTTTAAGCCATTGTCCATTGCCATTGCAGCTGCCATGGGCGTCATTTTCCTCTATGACAGTCTCTATCTTGGAAGGTACGTATGAAACAAATCTCATATCCCATTGCTTTTGGATTGTAAGAATCAATCCAAAGAACCAGTAGCAAGTAGCAACAACTTTTTTTCTTTTTCTTTTTCTTTTTTAGGTAATTAACAAGTAGCAACAACTATTTGCTTAGGTTGTTTTACCAATTTTGTTTTTTGTTCTGACCTTGCAGTATTGTTGGATGAGCTATAAGAATATGAGTGGGATTTTATGTTGTTTAGTGGGGGGAAGCAAAAGAAGAGATGGGTAGGGAGTTTGGGAGTCACCATCAACACAAAATGCCGCTTTGTTCCAAGGCAATACATATAATCCTGGCAAACTAAGGGGAACTCGAACATGGGCACACTTTGGGGAGCTTGGCGCTCAACCAACCAACTAGGCCACAATGATGAAGAAATGTAGAACAAACCAATGCGGTTGGACAGACTGAAACGCTAAATATAAATCTTCTACTTCTTTTCTGTCTGAATAGAAATTACCAAGTGTCAAAATTGCACAGGTCGACCCAATGAATAAAACGTCTTGTGGCCCAGAAGTATAAATTTGGATGTACTGAATTCGTAAATTGAACATCATGGGTTCGATTTTCACAAGCATTTTTATTTTAATTATCTACGGCAAATTGGAAATCCAACCTTCAATCTCTTCTTTACCAGTCAAGCTAAAGCTGGTAACTTAGCTTGCTTAGATCCTTTGGAGAAAGAAATGTACTATGATATCTAAGTCATGACTGAGTAAAGTGGCCAAAGCATCTCTCTTTGCAAAAGTTATTACATTAGTGTTGTGTTTGGGAACACCTAATTGACACCTTAAGATTGAAATTGAAATTTTTGTCGTTATTACATAAAGTGGAATCAACAATAGATGCAAGGCTTAAAGAAGTATCTGAAAGAGTTGAAATAGAGACCTTGCTATACCTACTTGGTTAGCAATGTGGGCGGGCTTGGTGGTAAGAGTAAGAAGCTGACGACTCTGCTCTTGAGTGAATGGAAGAGAGTTGGTTCCAGGCTATTGCATTTCAGTTGTTGAATAGGATGCTTGATTGGCGCTTGCACCAGGAGACTCTTTTATGAAGATGATGTCCTGATGGATACCCATGAATAAGATAGGATTTGGTTATTGTGTGACCAACCTTACCACAATGTTCACATGTTGGTTCGATGGCTTACGAGTTTCTCAGTGCTTTTGTAATTCTTATTATCTCGTATCTCCTCATTACTTTTAGAATTTCCCTTTGTCGTTGCTCTTGCAGCACCAAAGAGCAAACTTAATTGACAGAAGGGATCGGCTCCATCAACAAGATTTGACCAAGAACTGTGGAATAAGATTCATGAAATGATCTGGAGATTGCTGGAATGAGCAAGAGCGTTAATGCTCTGATACCATGATAAAATTGAAATAGTTTTGAATAGTAAATATTCTATTGAATGACTTGATGCATTTATATATAAGGTTACGATCAAATCTTCTAAATATTCTATGCTTGCTATAATTTTCAGGTTTTGCCCTATTTTCTCTTTGCCATTGTTATCATTTAAATTTTCCTCTTTTATCTTTGTCACTTTCAATTCAAAACACCTAACCTTGACTGGACTACATTTAAGTGCAGTAGAATTTATATTTATTCTTAACTACAATATATAGTACAATGTCACACAACATATGTCTGGATCGAAAATGATTCTCTCCTAAGATTGAGTCTTTAATTGTATTGTACGTTCCTTGAATGCAATAGTTTATATATATTGTTAAATCTATATCAATGATGAGTCCATTTTCTATCATGTCACCACCACCAATTAACAAATTATTTGTTTTGGGCCATGAAGGATGGAAAAACTGGCTTTGAGAAGCTCAAGCAGCCAGGCTAAAATCATGGGCACCATAGTATCAATATCAGGTGCATTTGCAATGACACTCTATGAAGGCCCACCCATCATATTGACTCTATTGCCATCCAAATCACTTCACTGGCCTCGCAGCTCGTTACAATCGGACTGGTCCATCGGCGGCCTGTTACTTGCAGTAGAGTATCTTCTAGTCCCCATTTGGTTCATTGTCCAGGTGATCTTATTATTGCTACATTGCAATAATGTTGCAATTATTTCTATAATTGATGACATTGGAAGAAGTAACAAAAACTAAAATTGAATGAATCACAGGCCAATATCATGAAAGAGTACCCGGTGGAGCTTGTCGTGGTATTTTAGGACTGTTGGGATTTATATGCCCTGGTATAGCAAATTTCTATCTGAATTATAGTGACATATGTTCCTGACATATCTGAAATATTTATTTATTAATGTATGTTGATATATGAATTAATATATTGATATATAAATATATATGCATATCAAAATTGGATCCATGAATGATGAATTTTGATAAAAATATGATCTCTAGTAATAAATCAAACCATGCTCTGATACCACTGTTGGGAAACGTGCTAGTTTTAAAAACTTTTCGAGGGATTTAAATTCATAGATCTTGATTCATCACATAGAGACAAGTTTTATGCAAAAATAAAACATGATGTATCATTCAATTAAAAGATTGAATACTTACATCAAGGTTTAAGTAAACCTTAGATCTCTTCTCTAAAGTGAATGTTCTCACTTATTGTAGATCTCTTTTCCTAGACACCTTTTCTATGGATCTCCATCTTCTTGGTAATGGTCTTGCCTTTAGGAATCACTCATAAGCCTCCATGAATGACCTTGGAAAACTAGGCTTGTGGGAGCCTCTATTAGATGAGAACACTAACCCTAATTTTCTAGAGAGAGAATTTATTCCTTTTTCCTTCTTCCAAAAATCACCCCCAATAATATACATAAACCATGTATATTTATAGGCAACAAAAAGATAAAGAAAAGGAAATAACAAATCCTTCTCAATCTCTAATTCACATGTCTCAAATCTAGTATGATTCCAATATCAAGTTGGGTTATGAGTGAGAATTTATTGGGCCTATTATTTTATTGGCTATAATGAATTAATAATTGGCCCGATCCATGGACCCAATTCAATTAATTCATAAATTAATTTCTACTCCACTAAAAGAAATTAATTGAACTCCAATTAAATAATAAATAACCTCTAAGTCAATATTACACTTTGACCCCTCTTTGCATAATTAGTTATCGGATAAATAAAGCCATCAATCCGACTACTTAATTAATATATTTATTTTGATACCTTTGATTATTTCTGACTCGATCACTATAAAACATTTGTTTGACAAAAATAATAATTTAAATAAATAAATATATAATAAATCATTTTGTCTAAAAACACACGAAGGCCTTCGAATTTACTTTGTGATCAACCATAATCAATACAAAATAAATACAAGTAGCAATGATGCAAATATTGAAAATATAACCCTCTAACTATTAATCACATAACTACTCAAAGTGTCGGTTTAAGGATCCCGAAGAATTCGCCGAACAAATCAAAGTAATTATTAATTAATAAAAGAGTCTATAATTTTCTCATACTTAAGAGTCAAATGCCATAATGATGATAGGGAGCAATTGCATACGACGGCTCTCGCAATATATCTCAACCTAACGCGGATCCAGTTCAAGTCTTAATTAATTATGAGTCCATCCATAATTACCGACTATGAACAATTTATAATTACTATTTATATATCATGCATTAATTGCCATCACTTACATATATATATAAATATTTCTTGTAATCACAGGGACACTATCAATTTCATAGTGAATCGAAACATAATACATTGAATTCACCAATTATATAAATCATAAATATTTCAGATATGTCAGGAACATATGTCACTAATTCATTTATATGCCCTAACATAACAAATTCCTATCTGGATTATAGTACACATAAAACAAATAGTAATCAAAACGAATTACAAATGTCTTGAAGATTAACCCCCAACACATCCAACACTTCCCAAAGAATACACTTAGCTAAATCCTTAGCCTCTTTAACACTCTTGTCATGTAATCTATTATTCCTCTCTCACCATAAAAAATATAGTGTAGCTGTAAAGTAGACTTTAGTCATTTTCTTGACATCCTTTCTCTGAAACTGCTGATCAAATTGAAGCATCAAAGCTGGATTATCTCTGAATTATAATGACATATGTTCCTGACATATCTGAAATATTTATGATTTATATAATTGGTGAATTCAATGTATTATGTTTCGATTCACTATGAAATTGATAGTGTCCCTGTGATTACAAGAAATATTCATATATATGTAAGTGATGGTAATCAATGCATGATATATAAATAGTAATTATAAATTGTTCATAGTCGGTAATTATGGATGGACTCATAATTAATTAAGACTTGAACTGAATCCGCGTCAGGTTGAGATATATTACGAGAGTCGTCGTATGCAATTGCTCCCTATCATCGTCATGGCATTTGACTCTTAAGTATGAGAAAATTATAGACTCTTTTATTAATTAATAATTACTTTGATTTGTTCGGCGGATTCTTCGGGATCCTTAGACCGACACTTTGAGTAGTTATGTGATTAATAGTTAGAGGGTTATATTTTTAATATTTGCATCATTGCTACTTGTATTTATTTTGTATTGATTATGGTTGATCACAAAGTAAATTCGAAGGCCTTCGTGTGTTTTTAGACAAAATGATTTATTATATATTTATTTATTTAAATTATTATTTTTGTCAAACAAATGTTTTATAGTGATCGAGTCAGAAATAATCAAAGGTATCAAAATAAATATGTTAATTAAGTAGTCGGATTGATAGCTTTATTTATCCGATAACTAATTATGCAAAGAGGGGTCAA